CATGCTGGGTGCGATAGCAAGAAAATAGTACAGGAACGATAGAAAGAAAACACAATGACAAAGAACTTCAGTTAAAGTCTTTTTGTTACGACTTGGATTGACACTCAACAGTTGTGACGCGAAAGATAAATAATCCAAATAAAAGAAAAGAGTTGTAGAGAGAATTTGAGACGGAGCTAATACACATCCACTTCAATAAATTCATTCACCATTTTCAATAGACAGCTTTGTAGAACTTCAGCTCGATCACAACATACATATCATGCTTCACTGCAAATTCCGAAGAACAAACAAAGCGAAGAAGAATCAGCAAAAGGAGATTTCTGAGTGTTATGGAATTTTTTTCAATTTCCTTAAAACCTCAAAGATTCAAGTAAAATCCAAAGGAATTACCTGCTGTTGCTGCTGGTAGCCACCGGGCTGCTGGTAATTTCCATAGCCAGCACCGGGGTAGCCACCATAGTATGCGTTAGGGTCCTGAGGAGGAGGTGCATATCCGAAAGCTTCATATCCCTGAGGAGGATACCCATAGTATCCACCACCAGCAAACTGGGCTTGATCAGGTTGAGTCTGCGACATGGATCGAGTCATAAGATGACATAGAGAAGAGAACATAGTAAGTAAACTGGTTGTATTGTCTAACGGATACAAACCTGCTTGCTGGAAGGACTGCGACCCCATGAAAGACGAATGCTTTGTCCCCCAAGTTGTGTTCCGTTCAACATAGAGAGTGCTTGCTCTGCGCATGCCCTGAAGTACATAGACAGAAACAAATGTCAAACACACTCTCAAAAATAAAAGTGAAGTTTGTCTTCACGGTCACACTACCTATTGGCATATTGAACAAATCCGCAACGCTTTCCTGCTGGTATTTTCACATGAACAAGTTCACCAAATTGACCAAAAACTGACTTCAAAACATCTTCTGTTACATTTTGATCCAAAGCACCAACAAATATCTGGCATAACAAAAATGACACTTAAATTCACTGAATATACCATAGTAACCCTATGTAGAACAGACTTAACGAAACCAAATCAAGGTACGCACTGTTGTGTTAGATGGATCACTTTCTCCGGAATTTCCTTGAGTGTTCTGATATGCAGCTGCAAATAACAGACAAAAGAACTTAGGAGAGCAAACTCAAACTTTTATTACTAAATTTAGTTGACAGTGCAAGGAAACAGACACTAAAGCAAAAACGAACAAACGACAGCAGTTGCAAAATTTATCCAAATCAAGATCCAAAAATATCAGCAGATAAGCAAATGGCATATATGATACAACTTTGAAGATTTAGGTATAGCGATTCTGAAGTTAGTTGATAATTGATACACAAATCATTAAGGATGTTCCAGGGGAAGTTGGATCTAACTATGAGAAATTAGAGAATGGGACAAGTGACCTAAATTCCTTCCACAGTCTGAGACTCTTTACCATAGTAATCATTAGTCAACTTGCCGAAAGAATAAAAGTAGCACTAAAGAAGAGTTGATAATGTAAATTTAGAGGAGAATAGTAACTGAAATAGGGAAAAAATTGTAACTCTAATTACTGAAGAAGATGATTTAAGAGGTGTGAAGAGAATTACAGAACTCTTCAAGAATTTCATACTGGAAAAGAAGCTAAATGTACTGAACTTAAAGTTTGGGCTTAAAAGTAAAAGACTTGTGCTTGAAAAGTAAAAGAAAAGACTTATGCTTGATAAGTAAGGAAGTGGAAAATAATTTGCGAGTGTAGCTGATAAAAGCTAATTGTAAATTAACAGCTTCTGAAAACATAACCAACTGACCTAAATGAGGCCACGCAATAAGGTGGAATCATTTTCAGCTGAAATCAGTTCCAGGCCCCCCCCCCCCCAAAGAGAGCCTCTTGTTCCCCTGCTTTAAGACAACATGAGTTTTTTTCTCATAAGTTTTAGGATGTTTTGTGAAATTAAATTCTTTGAAGTGCTGAAAGGTAAGAAGCGGAAGGAAAAGGGCAGGCACATTCTCTTTATTTTTGAGCACAAACTAACAGAAACCAATCAGAAAGATAGGTGTAAGGTAACACCCCACAGGAAAGACAATCAACTACCATTGACAGCTAAAGACATAGATAGATCGCCACTCAACATAACCATAAATGATGAGAAACATAATTCCTTAGTATGAAAACGTACCTGGTTGCATTGTAAGAGGCTTCTTGTTGGCAGCTGGACCAGTACGCATAGGCCTAGATGAGCAGTATTGACCATTCATCTCAGTCATGGCCCGCATCTGCTCACTTTCATCACCAAATCTGACAAATCCATATCCCTTGGAGCGTCCAGTGGTCCTATCAGTGACAACTTTTGCCCCCTTGACAGAGGAATAAACATTCTTAAATGTTTCGGTAAGCATGTAGTCGGTAACATCAGGTGCTAGGTCTCCTACAAAAACAGTGTGCTCAGGCCCTTCAGCCTGTCGTCTCTCTCCAGCTCCAAGCTGAGCCCAGTTGAGCCTAAATTGCTGTTCACTATTCGGCATTGGAGTACCATTGTAAGTCTGCAAAGTCCTCTCAGCTGCAGCATGGCTCATAAACTCAATAAATCCATAGCCTTCAGAATATCCACTCTGCTTATTGCGAATGACTTTAGCTGAGTGAGCCTAAGAAGAAAACACTAAACATCAACAAACAAACAGAGAAAAACGATATTCCAAAGTTTTTCGATAAAAGGATTTGAACATTACATCGCCGGTAAGAGCGAATATGCTCATGAGATAGGTTTCGTCCATCCATGGCTGCAAGTCACCGATCCACAACGACCGGATCTCGCCGGCCGAAGTTGGATTCTGAGATCCACCGCCGTACTGTTGCGGTTGACCAGGAGACGGCGCAGACTGCTGATTCCATCCTACCGAC